TGTGACAGTTGGAAAGGGGTTTCTTAGTCTTCATCTCAGTGCCTCCTATTCAGAGGGAGAAAGAGCAAATTGGGACAGGGAGGAAAGGAAGGGAGGGAGGGGCAAAGCCCATTCACCTTCCCCTATATTGCTATGGAGATGCCGGGGCCAGATGGCGGCTCATTTGACTGGAGCTGGACCGTCCTGGATGCACATCCGGGCTCCCCGCCTTCCCAGCTGTCTCACTCTAACTTCTCAGAGCCCAGTTTCCTTGTCTATAAAATAGGAATAATAATAACTCAGAGTGCTTGTAAGGATTAAATGAGGCAATGAATGGAAGGCTTCTACCTGTGTAACTATCGTTAGTTCCCTCTCTCCTCCATCACATTAAGTTGGGCAAGAAAATAAAAACTGCTTCCCTAGTCATTAAAATACTCATAGAGTAAGTTTGGGTGGTTTTTTTTTGTTTTGTTTTGTTTTGTTTCTGCCTGTTACATTCTTTCTGCAATATTTTTACCTGGTCTTTTCTTTCCTTGGCTTCCCCACATCTGGTCCTCCCCTGAGAGTAAAATAAAAGAGTGAGCGATGCCCAGACAGTCAGGAGATGGGCCCTGAAGCCAAGCAGACACTTCAGAGCGGATAATTTCTGCCAGTCTGTACTTCATATCAGGAGCCTCCCAAATGTTCACAGTGTTTAACCTGGAACTTTCACTTCTAGGAATCAAAATGAAAACCTTTAAAGATTTAAAGATTCAAGGATTTAAAGATTTATATGCAAGGATATGAGATGTGTGTGTATACCCCTACACACATATATTTGACAAATATTTATTTGACATTTAGGTTGTGATACATATGTTGTGTCAAATAAATTATGCTAAATAAACAATTTATGCTAGAAAACTATCAGCCACTAAAAATTCAATTTGGGACAATATTGAGAAAGTGAGACTCGTAAAATATAAAGTACAGTGAAAAGTCAAGACACAGAACCATGTTTATGGCATGGTCTCAAATATCCAATAGAATGTGAATTCTGGTCAGTTCTAGTGTTGGAATTGGACGTGAGTTTTATTTTCTTCATTACAAAAGTAATCCATGTTCGGTGTAGAAAATTTGAAATATGCAGAATGGTATAACCAGAAAAGGCTGATTTTAATTTTAAAATCTCCTAAAAGAATGGTTGGTTTCCAATCAACCCACCAAAAACATCAGCCATCAAAATGATCAGCTCCTCTACAACCTGCTCCCCGCCTCCAATGTTTGCAGTGCTATCTTCTGTCCATACCTACACACACACACACACACACTCACACACACACTCACACACTCACACACACACTCACACACACACTCACACACACACACACACACATGCGCATGCACATTCACAGGAACAGACACATGCATGAGTGCACACAGGCACAGAGCACACCCCAATATTTCACCAAGCCACATGTTCAAGTCCCTTGGGGGAGTTACAGGAGCCTGAGGTCAGAAAAAGGTGCCTGATAGAAAGAGAAAAAAGAAAAACATAGAAGGAGGTGGGGGGAGGGGATCATGGGGACTTGTGAAATGAGGTGGGAGTAGGAATGGGCTTCGGGAATAAAATTCCTACTAATCGTCATCTTCGCTGGGAGAGATGAGCTGAGAGTCTTTGTCAGAGGAAGAAGAGTCTATGGGGTGGTTGGAGTGGTTGCTGCTTCAAGAAAAATACAACCAACTGTCTGGGAGGACTTGGGGGTTTGCTCCCCAGCACCGAATGTGCCAGTTTTCTATTGCCTGATAACAAACAGCCCCATGACTTAGTTGCTTAAAACAGTAAGAAGCATTGCTGTGCTCATGCGCCTGCAGTTTGGGCAGGGCACTCGTCTCTGCCCCACATGCTGTCGGCTAGGGAGCCGGGACCGAGGGCTCCACGATGGAGCCTCACAGTGTTGGCACAGTGGTGCTGGGCGCTCAGCCAGAGCCATGGGCTCAGGATGTCCATTCCTCTCCACGTGGGCTTCTCCTCCCCATGGGCCGCTTTGGCTTCCTCTTGGCATGGTGGCTGGGTTCCAAGAGACAGGAAGTGGAAGCGCCAGTTTTTCAGGGCCTGGGTCCAGATATTGGCACAGCACCTCATCTACTGTATTCATTTGTCAAACAGTCCCAAAGCAGTCACAGGGAGAGGGGAGGCAGATCTCATCCCTCAAGGGGAAAAGGGACAAAGAATCGGGGGGCCACGTTTCAAAACCGCCACAGAGGGGCACCGACAAGGTCAATTCTGGAGGGCTCCTCCAGGCCAAGCTGGT